TGAAGTCAACATGTAAAAGGAATTGCATTTCTACACTGCAGGAACAACTCAAAAATGGAATTTTAAAGTGCCAGCTGCAGTAGCACTAACCCCAGGGGCCGGGGTGGCAGTGCCGCTCCCCTAACCCAGGCCAGTTCATGCTCAGCTCAGGCCTCCTGTGCCAACTGCTGTGATCCTCTGGAAAAGAGCCAGAAGCATACAATAGAAAATGCAATTTGCAAAAGCTTTAATGTTGGCTCCAACTCTTTCTAAACAGCAAAGGGGTCAAAAGCAAGTCATTTTACTCCAACTGCCTGAGCAGCGCCAGTGCTCACCAATATTAAAATACATTGTATCTCCGTTTAATATCTTGAGGTAAAATTCAAAGATTAAAACAGCCTAACCCAAAAGCAAAAATATATAATGTCTCCAGTGCAGTGTGAGGAGGCGTGAAACAAGCGATGTCTCCTAAAACCATGTGTATTCCACCACGTGAGCAGCCGGGCGGTCCTGCACCACAGGACGTAATGAAGCCACCGCGCTCCAGCACAGGCCAGGGGTGGAATGGCACCGGCGCGCAGGTGTCTCAGACGGCAGGCCTGCCCTGGTCCGCGACTCCACCACAGAACTGAGTAGCATCTTCTTTGGACTACAGATTGCAGTCCACACCGAAAGACACCTGACCTTCTAGGCTCAGAAATGCATGGAGGCTTTTGCCCACCTCATTAGCAAAAACATCTGACAGTTCGAGACGACGCAAGCAAATTTGTCACTGGGTGGAATGGTCCAGAACACAGCAGGACAGCAAGCATTTCTGTCTCTGCCCAGAACACTGCCAAGGCCCCTGGGTCACATGACACTGAAAACCACGCGTGCAGATTTGGGGTGTCTGGAGCACCCGGCGTGGACATATCCTCACCACATGAGCCCTGCGGCCCTGGGTAACCCTCCGTCCTCCACGGACAACAGCCCAGCAGAAAAACCAGCTTACCAGCCACCTGTCAAAGCAGCTCGGACAAAAATCTTCTAAAGAATTTGAGTTTCCTCTAGTTTTCAAAGTAGTCATGATGGGGGTGGGGGAGATCAGCATTTTTATTTTACACTTATTTTGAATTACAGACCGGGGTACGGATAACATATTATTTTTAATACACAGAGCCTGAAAAGCTGTCTGTTCAAATCCCAATCAGGTTTTGTAATAACTCCAAGTCTTCAGGACCACTGGAGAGCACAACACTCAACTTCTGCTTTTAAATGTTAGTCGTATCTTCTTTGGCTCCCAAAGTGGCATGTTTGTCATTCTGAAATAAAAATCTCAAAAAATAACAAAAGAAAACTTTTGTGACCTATTATAGACAAAAAATATTTTCACCTAAAGTCGGGCGTGGTGGCGCATGCCTGTAATCCCAGCACTCGGGAGGCTGAGGCAGGAGGATCGCTGTGAGTTCGAGACCACCCTGAGCTACATAGTGAGTTCCATGTCAGTCTCTACACAATGAGACCCTGTCTCCAAAAACCAAAAAAATAATTTTTTTTCACCTAAATGTTCAAGTTCTCTACTTTTTTAACTCTGCCTTTAGATCTTGTTGCAAAAAATACTCAAAGTCAGGGAGAGGAGTACATGCTGTAATCCCAGCATTTTGGAGGCTGAGGCAGGAGGATCATGAGTTCAAGGCCAGCCTGGGCTACAGAGTGAGTTCAAAGCTAGCAAGACTCATCTCAAAGAATAAGTAAAATAAAATACTCGAAGAAGGTACTGAAAAAGAAATCTGGAACAGACTCTACAGTGTTTAAATGTCTATTTTCCAAACAAGCATAATCTAGAAAATTAGCCAAATTCTTAAGACCTTTTCTTCCTGTAAAATACCTCCTACCTTGCAGTAGCAGGATAATATGTAAATGACTTCTCTAACAGCCATTCACCTGCTACCTGCTCATTAAGTGACACCTGTGGTTGCTATAGTAATCAGCTGTCACGGTGATCAGTGTTCACGCACTGAGTCAGCTTTTTCTTCTTCGTTGCTTCAGACATAATTTGCTAATCCTGGCTTGCAAAGCATTTTAAGACACTGTGGAGATGCGTCATACAAAGTCTTCGGCATTTAAAAACTCCACTGTGCAAATGGGAAGGGACCAAGCTGTGAGGAAAAGGGAAGGAGGGGGCATGATGAAAAAAGAATTAAAATGCATTACGTGGGAGAACCAACTCCATGTGATAAATGTAATCATTATGTGCTGCAGACATGAGCTAATAAAAATAAAAATAAGGGCCAGGCATGGTGGTGCATGCCCGTAATCCCAGCATTCAGGAGGCTGAGGCAGGAGGATCACTGTGAGTTTGGGACCAGCCTGGGCTACATAGTGAGTTCCAGGTCAATCTCAACTATATAGTGAGACCCTGTCTCAAAAAAAGAATAAAATAAAATAAAATTTAAAAACTTCACTGGACTGTCCTAAGATGCCTTAAAGAGCAGGAAAAGAAAGGAAGGCAGCTGGGCATGGTGGCACAGGCCTGTAATCTCAGCACAGGGAGGCTGAGGCAGCAGGATCAGCAAGCGTTTGAGGCCAGCATGGGTTACATAGTGAGTTCAAGGCCAACCTGACCTACATAGTGAGACCCTGTCACAAGAAAACCAACAAGAAAAAGAAAAAAACAAAGAAAGAAAGGCAATGATTAAAACTCATCAAGGGCCAGGAATTTAGCTCAGTGGTTCTGGCTCCTGCCTCGCAAGCACAAGGACCTGAGTTTGATCCCCAGTACAAAAAAAAAAAAAAAAAACTCATCAAGCCACATTTCAACATATACTGCACACCAGCCATGTGACAGTAGCGTCTACAAATTGAGCCCTGCCCACCTGATCATCCGCACAAGCACCCTGGTCATTCATCGGCCCATTTACATTTTACTTGGCTCTCCCCATCAGTCCTTATGGGAGACAGGACTCGCAAGCAATGCACACATTTAGTTGTTCTGTGGTCCTAAGACTAACTTTTCATGTCCTTGTTCCGTATTCAGGTCCTAGATGAGCCTTTGGGCCCCACACACAGCTCTCATGGCCTGGTGGCCATGGCTACACCGTCACACACACACACACACACACACACCCTCTATCACTCTCAGCTGGGTCTGCCAACACTTCTGCTCACCCTTAGACACTGGCTCCCGAGGGTGTGAAGGCCTTAGGAGCCCACTAACTCGACCCCTTGGGGCATGGGCCTTGGCAGATCTGAGGAAAACTGCTGACTCTCTCCAGACAAGCACACACGCGTGTAAAACTGCATGTCACAGGCTCCTTGCAAGGCAGGTAAGCAGTTACAATTTGTGCTCTCTGGTCGGCTTTGACTGGGACTCGTGGTAAAGGAAAACCCAGGTCGGAGGCCAGGGTGCAGCCACGCGGCCACAGCCTGGACTGGAAGGGTCGTCATCTCCACAGAAGCTTTCGGAACCCGTCAGCCCTCACTGAGCGATGGTTTCTGACATTCTCTGCCCTCCTCTGCCTCCCTGAAGTGTTGCTTCAGACCCACCACATTGCTTTCTCATCCTCCACCCTCAACTGAAAAACAGGGAAACCAACCCCCAGGTCCCGTGTCCCAAGTCCCCAGCAGTGATGTCCCTGTGTCAGCCCAAGGTGCTCTCCCCACACAGAATAAAACAACCTGAACCCCAGCTCCCTGCACAGGCAGAGCTCCCCCGGCCTCACACCTGACATAGTTCCGTCCCAAGGATGGTGAATCCTGACCTCAGTTTAATTTTCTCTAAACCATGCTGGGGCCTAGCATGACTTAGCAAGTAAGCACATTTTTCCTTTCCAGCCACCCTTTCTGCAGCCTCTGCAAACCCAGCATGAAGGGCCAGACTCCTTCTCGGAGTGGATGTAACGCTGGCTCACACCGGCCTTAGAGGCAGGGATGAGTAGAGATCTCCACCCCAGAGCTGCTCTCCTCCTCCTCTGCTGCTTTATTAAAATCTAAACGCCCGACCGACCAGGATCAATGCCTGCAAGAGAAGGACCGGAGCCCAGAAACCCCCAAGGCACCGGCACCAGCACAGGAAGCGCCCCGCCGCTTCTGTGGGGTTGGGGCTCGTTTTCAGGGTGTTTTGTTGTTGTTGTTGTTTTAATGTGGAATTGCTCTCTAACAGGCCCAGCACAGGGTGGGAGCCGCAAGACAACCCAGGACAGAGGAGGACAGGGGGAGGCAACTGCGTGGGGCCAGAGCACAGGTGCAAGGGGGCCGGGGGCCGGAATCAGGTGCTGCACGGATGGACCGAGCTGGAGACTGTGGGCGGAGGGAGGGGGGGCCGGGAGGGACCATGCAGAGCGAGACCCCGGGGGTCCATGGCTCCTCCCCCAACTGCGGCAGAAAATTTAGGGAGCCTGGGAATCTTCAAACCCCAGAATCCTTATTTCTGAACTTAAAATTTGACTGTGTCAGGGAGCCTTTTCCCTCCCTGAGTTTCTGTTTAAATCCGTCCTCTCCCCCCCAGAATTAGTGCTGGTGTTTGGTTTGGGCTTGGGGGGCTGGGGGCAGCTACACCAGCAAATCTTCCTGCGAGATAAACGTTGGTGAAGGTCAGGGCGGCTCCCGGGGGCCCCTGAATGGCTCAAGCCCACTAGGGGATCGGGCACCGCTTATCTCCGGACACAAGCAGCCCCGGGTCCCCAAGTAATCAGTATATCCTCGCAGCGCCCCGAAACCCACACTCCCATGATTCGCTATCTTGAGCACCCCCAAAATAAAATGATCAAGATAAAAATGATCAAAACCGGGGAGCGCTGTAAGTAACGCTGCGACACAGAAATATACGTTGCTCAGCCAGGATGGAACAGAGTACAAAAACCGAGCGCTGCCTGGAGGACAGAAATAGGGAAGGGGTGACATCAACTGCCCGGCGCTGCACAAGGGGAACATCTGGATTACATAACGGCGCCCGAGCGCACAGCATCTCGCGCCGGCCCAGGCCGCCACCCGCAGCCCACAGCCCGCGGCATCTCCAGCCTCCCGCGGTGCTGGCCCCTTACCTTTATTTTCAGAATCTTTCATCCTCTGTCTCCCTCCTCTGCTGCGAAGGAGCGGGAGAGCCTCCCGGGCCGGTGCTGCAGCCCCGACTTCCGACTTGTCATTCACAGCCAGCCCAGGCCCGAAGGCGGCTCTGGGAGTTTTGATTCCGCCTGGGCTGGAGCGGGGATGGGAGTGGAGGAGACGTAAACACAGCTTCCAAAACGCGGCCTGGACCCGATCCGGATCCGGATTGGCTGGCGTCTGCTCCCGGGTGGGGATTGGAAGGCCGAGGTCTGGGCGGTGCAGACTAAGGGCCCAGTGAGGGCTGCTGCCCGGCTCCCCTCACGCGGTCCGTCCTTCCTTGCTAGCTGCACTTACTTATTCATCAAACCTGCCTCGGGCGAGGCCCTGTGTCTGCACAGACCCAGGACACGGAGCCCACTTCACCCCTGGGTGACAGCGACTGGCTGGGTGGCCCTGCCAGGGACAGGCAGGAGGGAGCTACACCCAGAGGTCCCGGCAGAGGGGAGCCCAGGGAAACTCCCAGCCTCCACCCGGCTCACACTGCACCTTCACCGAGTTGGCGGTGCCGGCCCTGGTCCACCTGTTAGGGCTTCTCAGTAATGGAGAGACTCGGCCAGGAGAAAAGAAACACCGCCCACTGCTCTGGCCCCCAGAAACTGGCATGGAGAATCCACTGGCCCAGACTTCCAAGAGGAGGCTGGGATCCTCCCTCTTCCTCTCTCCCTCCAGCCCCTACTGAGAGGTGAGAGGTGAGGGCTGGACTCAGCCCCTCTGTGGTGTTCTGCACCTGGAGGCTGGAGGGAGAGGCACAGGTACCTCGATGGTGGCACTGTGAGGTGTGGCGCGACTGCTCAGGGCCGGGCACAGGGAGAGGACTCCCAGAGTCCCTGCCCAGCATAGCAGCCCCACCCTGAGACTGCAGGGTGACAGTTTCCGTGACCCCGGAGCCCCGGAGCTGACTTCTAGCTGCTCCCCTGATGACTCGCCGAGGTTGAGAAACATTTCAGGTTTGGCTTTAGGGCCCATGGTGGTCATTCACCCCTCTGCTCCCCGTGGACAGCTTGGACCACTGGGGACAGGTGCGGCTGCAGCCTGGATCTCGAGGGTCCCCCAGAGGCCCAAGGTTTACAGGCGGGACCCCACTGTGACACTGGGGGGTGGAGCTTGCACCTCCAGAACCATGAGCTGAAATAAACACGTCCTGTCCACAGTGGCCTGGGTGCTCTGGAACAGTGGCAGAAAGCTGTCCACAGGTGTCACCAGCCACAGAGGTGCCCTCAGCCACACGACACATGGAGACGTGGACACAGCTGCCACCAGGACTGAACCCACACCAGGATGTGCCCAGCGGGAGCGCCTGGGTGCGGGGTGAGGGTCACACTGGCTTCTGACAAAGCACCCAAGTGCCAGGCGCCATCCTGAACACGGAGGCTACGCAGCACCAAACAAAGCAGTCCCTGTCCCCAAGGTCTGCAGGGACGGGGCCTTTCTGACTCCAGCCTGCGATATGGCTGAGCTGGGAGCCTGACCGCTCTGGTTTCCCTCCTGGGGAGGCCAGGGTGACGCCAGCGTCACCCTCCTTGTCGGGTGGGGCTGTCGGGGGCCCCCCAGGGCTACACAGCTCATGGCGTCACCTGTGACCCAGTCACCTCCGCCAGGAGGCCTCAGGTCCTCATCAGACAGGGATAATAACAGGGCTGCAGGCCGTGGGCGTCAGGGATCAGAGGGACGCAGAGCCCCAGGCCAGGTGCAGGAGAGCAAGGCTGGGCCTATTGAGGAAGGAAGCAGGGAAGAGGAGAAGGCACCTGTTTTTACTGCAAAACAAATAATTGTGTTTGCTCTTTTTTTTTTTTTTTCCTTAGGAAATGTGGCCATGTTTAGGAGTTGTAGAAAACTTCAAGCGTATAAAAAAATTGAAATAATCACAGAATGAGTCCTAAACCATGCCCGATTTGGTAATATTTGGAATGTGTCTCCCCATCCATCTTTTTAGTTGATCTCATTTTAAAAAGAGGCTTGAAAGGACCACCAAATTAAAAAGCATCTCTTTTCCCCTCCTAACGTGTGTGTACATTTTTTTTTTCCTGAGACAGAGTCTCACTGTGCAGCCCAAGCTGACCTTGAACTCGTGGTGATCCTCCTGCCTCAGCCTCTTTGTTGCTGGGGTTCCAGATCTGCACTTCCTGACACAAGACACAAGTGTAGCAGAGCCCTCGAGCCCGGTTCGCAGCCATTCCACCAAGATCGGACCTCTCAGAAGTCTGTGCCACTGCATTCCACACCTCAGTGGGTACAAGGGTGGACGCAGCCTCACTTTCGCCAATGAGGCAGGAGCCAGGGAACGAGACTCGTTATTGTCCTGGGGAAGACACTGCTGCACTCCTGGGGTTAAACCCACAACCTGCAGATCTGACTCCGAAGAAAGACGGGGAAGAAAATGGCCCAACAGGGAATCTGCTGGCCGAGTCTCATTCCCAAGCACACTGGCAACCCAGCACTGGCCTGAACCCCGAACTGACCCGGGCGAGCCCCTTGACCTGCCTCCAGCACCCACAGGGCATAGGGGAGGCGGTGGGAGGAGGCTGAGGGAGGAACGCGGCATGGCAGCCGTGGCCCTCACCTCGCTCCGCCTCCGTTCCTCTCATCTGTAAACTAGGGGTGGCTGCAGGGACAAAAATAACGACATAAGAACTCACACCGTTTAGGGCTGCGGCCGGCACGCAGGAACGTGAACTGGTGCCAGGCCACCGCTTCTAGGGGCCATCACGGGCCACAGGACAGGAAGCCAAGCAGCGGCAGAGCCAGGGCCCTTGGTGCCACTCAGGGCCCCACAGCCCCGAGAGCTGACGGCGTCCTGCTCCCCTTTTGTGGGGCACCGCTTGGGCCCAGGCGGCGCTCGGGTGTGCCCAGGTGCCCCATGCCTGGTCTACGCCAGTCTGGCTGGCTGTAGCCTCTGTTGTCTCTGCCGCCCCTCCCAGGTGTCTGCGTGTGATGAGGATTTGATTGTAGCCGGTTCCGGGCCCCAGGCTCCAGCCTCCACCCCGCTCAAGGGCTGCACCTGCCTGCCTGCCCGTGGGACCAGGCCGGCCACCAACAGACAGCGAGGTGTTCCAGCTGTAGTTACTTCGCAGGGCTGGTTATTTTCCAGAGCTAATAATGTACAGGGGCTGATCCAAAATGTAGTGAATCTTTAAAGTTTTTCAGAACTTATTACAGTAAAAGACAGATTGCCAAGAACAATGGAATCGGCATGTGGGAAGCGAAGGGTATTAATAGCAACAGTGTGTTTTCCTCTAATGAAATTTTTGGGGGAGACAGGTTCTCCCATGTGGCCAAGTCTGGCCTCAAACTCAGTGGTGATCCTCCTGCCTCAGTGTCCCGGGCGAGCGCTGAGATTATAGGCCTGAGCCAGCGCACCTGGGCCAGTAATGAATATTTTTGTTTAGACATTCACCGTAAGTTTTCATCACTCCTCAATGAACACCCATCACAGCAATCTCTGTCACATAAAAGCACAATGCTGTGTCTGCACCCAGCTTAGTCACAGGATCCGGTGCCCTGTGACTTTGGCTCCTTCCCAGTCAGGGTGACCAGGAAAGGAAAATGTCTTGGACGGGTTCAGACATCGGGGCGGCCAGGAAGGCGGGACGGTGCGTTCACAGTGAGGGGAGGATTTGGGGGGCAATTCATGGCCCTGTGCTTCGATAAGCACAATAAATGTCTAAATTTAAACCTTCACTGTCTAAAAATATAAATTAATTAAAAATAAGTTAAACGCTCACGTAGTCCTTCCGGTCCCTGATCTCAGGGCTGTTTCCAGCACCTCACACTGCGCTGCAGGGTGGTCCTTGCCACTGCTCAGTAGGATCCGCCTTCAGGGAGGCGCAGCTGGGAAAGGGCCCCGAGGACAGACTCACCGCAGCCCTGACCAGCTGCCCGCGCCCCAAGGCACCATCTCAGAAAGTCCTGCGCTCTAGGTCCAGCCTGGCCTGGGGAAAGGGCTCACAGCAGGACCCAGGGAGGGGACCTCTCCGAGGGATGGGGTAATTGTCACAGCGGGCCCCACCCCGCTCGGCCGCCTGCTGCCCTGCAGGGTTGGTTCACTCCGTGCTCCCTGCAGAGCGGCTGCGTGATCAGGTGCCTTTGAAAAGTAGCTTTGACACCCACCTAAACAGAAAACATTTCAGTATCTAGACTATTTAAAGAATTTTTATAAATAGATTAGCAAAAACAACCCATGAAAGGAAGGGAAAATGGCACAACAGGCATTCTGCAGAGGTGCGCGCAGAATGGCCACTATCCAGCAGAACAGATGCCAGCTCCGCGACCAGCTGAGGAAATCCAGTATGAGGCCGTCAGTGTGAAACTGTCCAGGAGGTGAGTGTGAGGGAGCAAAGCCGGACTCGGCACGGAGCCACGAGGCTCACACTCCGTGGTTCACAGGAATGCAGGACAACTTGGCAGAGGCTTTAAAAGTTAAATGCATTCAACCCAGTTACTCCCCTCCTCAACGGCTTCCCGAAGGACTTAGAGACAACGTGTTACAGGGATCCGTGCACACGCATGTGCAGCACAGCCCACACTAGCTAACTCTTGGAAGTGGCCTGTGTGTCCGCCAGCAGATGAATGGATAGAGCAAATGTGGTATTTCCATGCAGTGGAGTACTACTCTGCCATCAAGAAGGATAGACCTGAGTCATCTGTAGGAAATAGAGGTACCTTGAGACCATGGTGTTAGGTGAAATAACTCAGACACAAGAGCTTAAATAGCACATGGCTTCCCTCATATGAGAAACCTGAAATACAAACAAAAAGCAAAATAAGGGCCAGGGATTTACCTTGGTGATGCCGCCACCAACCTTGCAAGCACAAGGTCCTGAGCTTGATCCCCAAAATAAAAGATAGAGAATAGGATACAGGGAGATAGATCTTTTTTGCAAAAGGAAGGAAACCAAGAGATGGAGGAAGGGAGATAGGGGAATAGGAAGGGGAAGGAATGAAGACGTGTTATGTCCATGGACCAGCTCTCCACGATGAATGTATCGATAATACACTACAACACGTACTAATAAAAACTAAAATAGAAAAGAGTTCGGAAAGCATACTCCTTTGGGACCAGAATGTCCTTCTACGGATTTGCGGCAGTTACGGTCACGTGGGTCCAGCGTGTGACCTCCAGGCCCATCTGTGGAGACACAC